CCTCTAAACTAAACTAAAACTATTAAATGAAAGAAAAATAATAATAAAACAACCTCAAAGCCAGCCCTTATCATTTATACAGTTTTCAAGTTTTCTTTTAAACTCACTTAAATTTTACTGCCTCCACAACATCTGAAGGCAACCTTTTCCAAAGGCCAACCACTGTGTTAGAAAAATAAAACTGTCTTCGCTGAAGATTACTCCTAACCTGCCAAAATGTATCTTTGTGTCCCTAATCATACCATTATCACTATTAATTATGAAGAAAGATGATGCATCAACACTAAGGTTATTAATCCTTTTAATAACCTTAAGCACCTCCTTCAGATCCCATCTAACACTCCTTTTTTCAAGAGAAAACAATTTCAGAGAACTTAATCTCTCCTCATATGATAACCCCTCTCTCCAAGGCACCATTCTAATAGCCTTTCTCTTGACCCTTTCCAACAATTCAATATCCTTCCTAAGGTCAGAAGCCCAAGACTGAATACAATACTCCAAATGCTGCCCAGGTACCCCACTTGTGACATTAATCCAGTTTGACTGTACTCTGCTTTCTTCCATTCAGCTGCTCTTCCATCCAATTAGTTTAACTTATCCCCCACACCTATAGATATAAGTTTTTTTCACACCTTTTATGTAATACCTTTTCAAATGCTTTCTGAAAATCCAGATACACCAAATTTATAACATTGCCCTATCTACATTTGCAGTAACCTTTTCAAAGAATGTCAAAATATTTTTAAAGTGAGATTTTCACTTTGTGGAACCATGTTGACCATCCAATAAAATTCTAAACTTTGTTAAATAAATGTCTTTGCAAAGCATCTTTTATCAGGCTTTCAAAAACTTTTCCCACAACTGATGTAAGACATAATAGGCCTATAATTACTGGGACAATTTTAATCAACTCCTGAAAGAGGAGTAACATCAGCCAATTTCCAATCCTCTAGTACCTTCCCACTATTCAAGGACTTACAAAAAATAGTAGCAAGTGGCTTACATATCCAATCCTTAACCTCCTTCAAACCCTTGTGAAAATATTATCTGAACCAGGAGCCTTATTGTTCTTTAAACTTCCCAAT